GTGGGAGCGAGGCGATTTGAAACAGAAGCGTCATCGATTTGTGGCCAACTCTGCATGGCTAAACATTTACAGGGAGGGTTTCGTCCAACATCTACCGCGTAGCTACTCGGACCATTTCCCGCTCCAAGTCCGTCTCTCGGCCAACAACTTACCGGCCCGAACGCCCAAGTCGTTCAAATTTATGGCGTCATGGAGAAGCCATGACGGGTTTGCCGGAGTAGTAACAGAGGCTTGGTCTGGGAAATCCTATGCTGAAGCTAGCAAATGCTTCCAGGAGCAGGCGAAGCAATGGAATTTCCATGTCTTTGCTTGGTAATATTTTTCAACGTAAGAAGTGGCTCCTTCGGCGAATCGCTGGGATCCAACGGGAGCTTCAGAAATACACCACGCCTCGGCTGTGTGCCATGGAATTCTATTACGAAAAGAGCTAGATGAAGTCTCATTGCAGGAGGAGATTTTATTGATACAGAAAGAACAAAGGGATTGGACGTTATTTGGAGACCGGAACACAGCGTATTACCATAAGGCGGTCAAGCAACGTCGCTACCATAATCGGATACATTCATTGAGAGATGAGGCCGGCTCCATAGTGGAGGACCCTGAGACTATTCAGAGAATGGCCCTCGATTTTTTCCGGGGTATATATACGCACTCTGAACCGATTCAAGCGGGACCAGGAATGGCTAATTTATTTCCCCGGCTTGATCCTCGTCTCTTCGCTCGCATGGGCCGTGAGGATCCATGTAATTGAGAAAGATTCCTCGCCCTTGATGAGATGAAACCGCTGAAAGCACCTGGACCCGATGGAATCCATGCGATATTCTTTCAACGAAAATGGGATACGGTGTGGGCCCGGCTGTGTGTGATATGATCCGTAATTTTTTCAATGGGGGAAGCCTGCCATCGGAGTTAAACAAAACCTTACTCGTACTCATTCCAAAAGTCGCCAATCCTGAACGTATTAAGAACTTTTGGCCTATTAGCCTCCTCAACGTGGTGTACAAGCTGATCACAAAGGTATTGGTAAACCGCATGAAGCCTGCACTCCCCTTGCTCGTTGGTCAGACTCAGTCTAGCTTTGTGCCCGGCCGCCATATTACTGACAATATCATCGTGGCTCAGGAGTTAATGAACTCTATGCGAAACAAGACGGGCCGTAAAGGTTTCATGGTTATTAAAGTTGACCTGGAAAAGGCCTATGATTTCCTACGTTGGGAGTGGAGGAAACAATTCGGGCGGCTGGCTTTCCCAGCACCTTTGTTCGGAATGTTATGGCATGTCTCCAGTCGTCGGCCATGCAAATAAGCTTTAATGGGACTACAAGCGAGGTCAATTATATCGAGCCTAATCGCGGTGTGCGACAAGGGGACCCGATCTCTCCATATTTGTTCGTGTTATGTATCGAAAGACTGGCCCACCTAATCCAATGCCATGTGGAGGCCGGTTATTGGCGGCCAATAATGATTGGAGGAGGCGAGGGCCGCGTGCCGCTCCTCATGTTCGCGGACGACCTGCTTTTGTTTTTAGAAGCCAGCGATGATCAAGCACAGTTGGTCACTTCGGTGTTAACGGATTTTTGTTCCATGTCCGGCCTCAAGGTCAGCCGGGCCAAGACGAACGTCTATTTCTCTTTCTATATTCCTCCTTCCGATCAGCAAGCCCTAGCTCGGTCCATGGGGTTTTCGATCGTCACCAATCTCGGCAAATACCTTGGAGTACCGGTCGTGCATAGCCGTGTTACCAATCATACTTACGAGAATATCCTCGAGAAGGCGGATGCAAGGCTAGCAAGTTGGAAAGCCAGCACGTTGTCTTTAGTTGGCCGTCTTGTTCTTACGCAGTCGGTGATTAGCTCTCTGCCGTTCTACACAATGCAAACAGCTTGGTTGCCCAATGCGACGTGTGACGGTTTGGAAAAGCGTTGTCGCAATTTCTTGTGGGGTGGTACTAACTCCAACCGAAAAATTCATCTTGTGTTTTGGGACATGGTATGTCAACCTAAAGAGTATGGCGGGTTGGGCATTAAAAAACAGCGTGAAATGAATACCGCTCCTTCTTATGAAGCTAGGTTGGTCCCTCTTGACTAATCCAAACGCTCTTTGAGTTTGGCTAATTCTCGCCAAATAGAAGTTGGTTCCCGCCTTGATGACCGAGGATTTTGTGTTTCCCAGAGGGTCCGCTATTATCCAAGCCATTAAAAAGGTTTGGCCGTCTGTGCGGCGTGGGGTGCGGTGGTCCATTGGCGATGGAGCTACTGTTCGATTTTGGAGGGACAATTGGACGCACAGCCCCCATCCTATCATTAACGAGGCTCTGGGTCCTGTCCCGGACGATCAGCTCGACTGGACGGTTAGTGACTATGTTGATGACTTGGGTCAATGGAGATGGGATCTTTTTAGCCACTTGGTGCCGGCCGGTATATCGTTGCGAATTGCAGCCGTTTTGCCACCATCGAGAGCTGCTGGGCCGGACAAAATGTATTGGGGGTTTTCGGAGAATGGCAGCTTCACAACGAAATCGGCTTATGCTTCGCTGGTCAGTGCCTTTCCGGCGCCTGCTATTGATCGGACCCCTTGGAGAATAATATGGAAATGGGCTGGTTCGCAAAGGGTTCGACAATTCCTTTGGCTTGCTGCTCAAGATAAGTTGCTAACTAATGTGGAGAGGCGGAGGAGACATATTTCAGACTCGTCGACCTGCACATTATGTGGCCGATACGATGAGTCGACCATGCACTGCCTTCGCGACTGTACAGGGGCAAGACAGGTTTGGCGAAGCTTGATCCCTGCTCACCAACAATCTGAGTTCTTTCGCCTACATCTACGGGATTGGTTGATTCAGAACTTGCAAAATGGCTTGGGTATTGGTGTTGTTGGTTGGGAGACTATTTTTGGGGTCACGGCGTGGCATATCTGGAGGGGGAGAAATGAAAAGCTTTTCTCTGATTAAAGAATTCGTTGTCGCTAATAAAGTCCGGGATGTTAGGTCCTTTGCTCAAGGAATCAGAACTATCACCTCGGCCGAGAAAAATCTGAGTGGCCTCGGGGTGGGTGGGGCGTGGAGTGCATTTCATTCGATGGGAAGCTCCTGGTGACGGCACTATCAAAGTTAATACGGATGGCTCCTTTTTGACTTCGTCCGGGATGGCGGCGGCCGGAGGCTTGGTTCGTGATGCAGGGGGTCGTTGGCTTGGGGGGTTTGTGATGAATATTGGGTATTGTTCGATCACAGGATCAGAGTTATGGGGCCTTTTCCAAGGTTTGCTACTAGCCTGGGACTTGGGGGTGCCGTAAGATTACTCTTGAAGTGGACAACAAAAGTGTGGTGACAATGGCAAACGGGGGCTTAACGGAGAATCTTGGAGTGCATGGTACTTTGGTTCGGGCCATTCGGGATCGGATCCCTCCACTGTTGACTTTTAAGTATGCGAATCCCTGGGAGGCATAAAAGAAAAGGGAGGTTACGTGTCAGGTGACGTGCGGACTGCATCAAGCTTCCTAGCCATAAAAGAGGTGAAAGTTGCGTAGTTGCGTGAGTCAGTGCATTCTTAGCTTCTTAGGCGGTCAAGACATAAGTCCTTTCTTTATTATATGTCATAAGTTTGCTCAACAAGTTGAGCTGAAGGAGAAGCCCTCGGATCGGCTTTGATCTGGCTTATTAAGGCTTATAGTTGATGCGTGGGCCTCTTGGCGGGCTTCAGTTCGTGTCGGGTCTAATTAATTGGAAGAGCAAAAAAGAAGAGTTTCAGTTGTCGCCTCTGGAAAGCTACTTTTCTTTCTTTTACGCATGTGCTCTCCTTCTTTTGCTTCATATGCTTCGTTTGCTTCCTTTCCTGCTTCTGAACAGGGATTGGGCATTGGTCCTATCGGGACTCGGGAAGGGAAAGACTAAACTTAGTTAGAGCAGTTTCGGGCCAAGAGGACCTCTCGGGAGTTGTATTAGAGCAGCCGTTAAGAAGAGTTAAGCTTGGGTTTCATTTAAGTTTCCTCAACAACTGTCGTCACTGTTTAGCTCTTGCCCCAAAGGGGCGGAAGAAGAAAGAAAAAAAGAGAAAGGAGGAGGAAGCTATTTAGTTTACGCGTGTGTGGCTGTCTAGCTTAAGCTTCGAGGCTGCGCTTGAAATGGTTTGACTTTAGGTTTGGCGTCTACCAATTCTTTGAAGATCGTTATCGTTAGTCCCTTTCCGCTTGACTTGGAGCTTGACCGCCTATCAGTTGAGTTTCGGGGAAGAGCAGCTGCTTCTGTTCATGCTTGTTCGGAAACAAACAATACAATATATGCTGTCTCCGTTTCAACGGTACGATGAAGGTAGAAAAAGCCGTTTCTGTTGGGTCTGGACTCTTAGTGGCCTAGCTAGCTGTTACCTCTGCTCTGGGAGAGTGGAAGACAAAAAGGCTGATGCTGGTTCGGATCCTTGAGAGAAGAAGTGGAGGTCGAGGGCTACTGAATATGTTTCCAATCTTGATGCGAGTTCCTCAACCGCGCGGCTGTTCACCTGCGTCTGAAAGCAAGGAACGGAGTCACTCGACCATAGTACGAGGAACGGAATAACCTCCCATGTTTGACTTAGCGCTGACCTAGGCTGCATTTGTACCTGCGGATGAGCCTACCACTTTACCAGTCGTACCACTTTTAAAGTAATTGGAACTCTCTGATGCCGGATCCTCCCAACTACCTATGAATGGAGCTCCAAGTTTAAATAGAGTCCCTAAAGAAAGGGGTGATCCTGTTGAGGTACTGCCATAAACTACATCTAAAGCCTCGTCTAGTCTAATCGCCAAGAATGGCTCCTTTACTTACGATGGCCGATCAGAGATGAAAGGAAGGACCTGACTGACAGGGCTTTGTGCCTGCGGATGAAACTGATGCCTACTTTCTATACGCTGTTTTCGTCGAGCAGGTCTGAAGCCTGCCAAGCCTGCTAATCTAATTTGCCTCTCAGCTAGCTCTTTGAGGAATTGACTCCAAGATGGCTGATCTTGCTGAAGTTTTAGCGCGAAGATTTGACTGACTAAGGAAAACGCATTTGAAACAACCCTCGCGGGTGATGAATCCTCAACACTTTACGAAGGGACTTAAATGTAGTTTTTGACCTCCTCGCTTTCTTAGATGGACACCTGGAGGCAGCATTCCGAACCTGCTGGAACTACTACTCCCCATAGGGACGATATTAAAATAAGGCGGGCCAAAGAAGAGCGACATATACGCCGGCCTGAGCACTCTGTCTTCCATTGGTCCCATGTGAACTTGCTATAGCTCCTGCCGTCTGTCTCCTCTTCCCGCTACACGGGGATGCTCGAGTTTAGAGGTGCGCGTTTGAGCTACTTGATCTCCCGAGGGGTCAGC